TTTAATTTCTTATCCAAAATGGTCACCCAGCTGAATCAGAACCCCTTGAAGATGACGTTTTTGGACTGAAAGATCGGCGAAAGACACGGGTTGGAGGGAGGGGGTCAAGAGAGCTGAGGTGTTGTCGAGATAGGCCGTATAAATAGGCTTTTGGGTACCGTATTTTCCGGGCTATTAGGAGCTCTGGATTATAAAGCGCTTATGCTGTCATTGAATGGTCTATTTTCAAACTTTTTTCACAAATAAACCGCACTGGACTTTAAAAGAAACACAACAGTTTGATGGGTGAGTGGTTTTGTTTGTTTGTTCGTTCACGGTGACTCTGGGCTTTGTTCACGTGTAGGGAGGTGCTGTCTGGGACGCTGTTGTTCGCAGTGACTCAGTTGTTCAGTCGTGTCTAGAAGCGGCACATTGCACTCGCTTTTTCGGTTCGTTCCTCCGTTCCGTTCCTCGTCGGCGTGGAGTGATGAGTGTGTCTGTGGGTGTGTTTCGCTGTGCGGTCGCTGTCTGCTCCGTGTGTGTTTGCGTGTTCTGCGGGTCTTTTGCGGCTTTGTAGTTTACTGAAGTCGTGCTGGGACACCCGAGTGGATTTGTGTATGGGGCGCTCTGGATTGTGGCGCGTGGTCATTTTTTGATGGGGTTAGAGGCTTAAGAGTGCGTCTAATAGCCCGGAAAATACGGCAATTGAAGGCGTGGTTGGGAGAAGCTATAGAGGTGCTCAGATTATTTTATTTTTTCATCCTCAACTGCATCACAAAACTCATCATCCATCCATTTACACAGCCGGGTTTTGACCAGTTTTCAAAAGCGTACCTTTATTTGAGTAGTTAAACCACCACCCGCCCGAATTTAATTAAAATATTATTTTAAATATTGAATTAAAATATTATTTTTCGTCACGCCATCCACCCGACCCGCGGTTACAGCCAAGGTGTCCACGACTGTAAAAAGCTCAAGACCACACGAATCCAGACCAAGACTAGTCCGAGACCACAGTGTCCCGAGACCAGGACAAGACCAAGACTTTTAAAGGTCGAGACTGAGACAAGACCGAGACCACGGCTCATCGAGACCATCTTGGTAATTTTTGACATTTATTTGTATTTTACAGTTATTTTGGCACAATGTTTTTATAAATCTATCTCCATTTGATCTGATTAATGTTCATTTAAACTTGAAATAAGCCAAGCAAACTGTACAGCACTGAAACACTCTGCGCCCCTTTTTGTGGAGCTTCACCCACAGTTTGAGAACCTCTTCTTTAAGAGAACTTCAACTGGCACTTTAGACAAAACTATGAATAAAGTGAAGACAGTGGGTAAGATTTTTAAACCTGTTTTGTCAAGTTCCTAACTTGGAGTTACATTCTCTTACTGGTTTTGTGGTGGGATTTACCTCTGAATATTTAACAAACGCACGTCATGACAAATACAGATTCACTTTTATCAGGTAAACTTCAGCCACATGACGCGGTAAGAATTTTTTTGCCGACAGCAGTGGCTGTAATGAAATATGACCTCGAATCTGAGACAAGACCCAGTCCAAGCGCCTTCAAGACCGAGACGAGACTGTAAAAAAAATGGTTTAGAGACCAAGACCGGTGGTCGGCTGGAGAGGAGGATGAGGCGTGGTCCAGCTCCTGAAGCTCAGTTAATCATATTAACTCCATCATATATTAACTCCATTTATTGCTTTGTCTAGAATGTTCCACAGTATTGGATTAAAATTATCTATATCCGTGGCAAGTAACAAGTCAGATCTGTGGAGAGGCGATCCCGCTCACAGCAAGAATAATTTTTTTTTGTACATGTTTGAGCAATCTTTAATCAAGATGTCATATTGCAACCATTTTCACCTCCACAGATATTTCTCCAAGTTTCATTCTTTCATTCTTTAACAGTTAATACTCCCTACAACTGTACATCTCGCCCTTATGTAACAGATAATACTCCCTACAACTGCACAACAACTCAGCCTTATGTAACAGATAACCCTCTGTCCTGTCAATCATCATATCACTGTTTTCTTATGACGTCTTGATAAAGCTGGGATTTTTTTTTTTTTTACTTATTTTTCTGTTTTATTTTGACTTTTACATATATATTTATATAAGTTTGTCTTATTTGACCTGTCTCTTGCTATATTTTTGCTACTTATTTAGAATTTATTATTACTATTTATATTTTTTGTCTTTGTTATTATATTTATTGTGATGTGTGAGCCGCTGTGTCCAAATAATTTCACTTGTGGATCAATAAAGTTTGTCTAAATCCAAGTCTACGTCTAGTAAATTTAATAAATAAGTTTAATGTTGGACTGCGGAACATTCTAGACAACGCGATGACATCTCCACGGACACAAGCAGGCGGCAAACTCTACTAGAAAAGTTACATATTACAGCTTTAAATGTAAAGTTGCATCTCTCGGTAAACAAACGGATGAATGCTGGTTTCAAGAGTAAAAGTTTTGTCCACGGTAACGTTCAAACACGAGTTCTGACATCAGGGCGGCGTTGGGGGGTCAGCACATTCGCCGCACAGTGAGAAGGTCCCAGGTTCGATTCCCGGGCGTTTGCATGTTCTCCCCGTGCTCCGGTTCCCCCCCCCGTTAATCTACAACATGCATAAGACGTCAAATCCTCCAAGACTGGGTCGAGATCTGGAGACGGGTCCAACGGTTCCTGTCAGGTTCAACCCAGAGACACTGAAGAGTGGGTCAAACGCAGAAGGCAAATTCCCCAACGCGTACAATAAATCCTGCCTTAAAGGTGCAGTGCTTAACGTTTGTTTGGGGGCCCGTTCACCTGCTTCTTCTGCTTGGAATGTTCCACAGTATGACATTAAACAGCTCTACTTTATATTTACTCAATTACAAGTGGTTTTAAAGCTCAAAAATACCTAGAAAAACCGTTTGAGCTGGGTCGCCTCTCCACAGATCTGACCCGTAACTTGGTTTTGGTTTGATCTCCTTGAGGATTAGGGCTCAGTTTCATTGAGAAGTTCCCAATACACACGATTCTACAAAGGCAGAAGTTCAAAATTCATGTCATTTGGTTTGTATCTGAGACCTTCTTTATCATGTGAATAAATATTGTGAAAAATATTGAGCTCAGAATTGAACTTTGACCCTTATTTGTCAGTTCCTGTTCTCTGTTTTTGTATCATGAGTCAAAAATACAGAGTCGTGCAAAGGCAAAAGGCAGTGACAGTGTATGTTTGGTTTGTGATTTAGTTAATAAATATATTGTATTTTAAAATCCTTAACAACTCAACTCCTTCTTTTTGTTGCGGCCTTGGCACAGGGTCTTAACACATTAAATAAATAAACCTATGTATTCAATTAAACGTATCTAATTAGAAAGTGAAAGTATTGTGTGTATTTATTCATACTGTACACACTGTACTGCAAAGTCACTTGTGAGTCAAACTGTTTTAACTGTGTAAGTGTCGCCGCACGATCCTGATCAGCACTAAACAGGAAATCCAAAGTTCTTCTGTATCATTTCCAACAAACTCCATGATGACTCGACCTTCATGAGGTGTTGTTTCTTATCATCAATGGAAATCTGGGGAAGTCTGTCCGGTTTCACTTCGTGGAAACCATCTGATCTCGCAGCATTAGGATTCGTTTGCTTGACAGTAGGCGGGTACTTTTTTAATTTAACCAATCGCTGCTGTTTGGTCGTGAGCCGCTAATGGGACTAACAGGTATATTAAGCTTTTCCCAAATCCCGTCGGAAGAAGGACAGTAACGTCTTTCCCCTTGATAAAATTCACCAAACATTCTCTTTGTTCTGGCTTTAAATCCTCGATCTCGGGAATCATTACCAACACAGAATGTATGGCTCTTCGCTGATTGGCTGGTGCCCGAACTCACACTTCTGGGGTTTTTGCGAACCGTGTAGTGTATTCAGATTCCTGACCTACTCGCTGGAGAGAAATTAATTTGAGTGGCGGCACTAAGGTGGCACCAACCTGGCTAGGAAGTCTGAGGAAAATCATGCAAACCACAATAATGTCAGTCTTGCCTTTTGCCTTTTGCACGACTCCTTATTTTCAGTTCATGACACAAAAGCAGAGAACAGGAACTGACAAATAAAAGTCAAAGGTCAATTTTGAGCTCAATATTTTTCACATACAAATATTTCTTCATTATAGCAACTAGTTGTCAAACTTTGGGAGCCCAGACTATTATACTTTTGTGTGGGCAAAACAGAAACTTTGAAGTCATTTTTTCTCAGTTTCACACTCTGGAGAGTTAAGGTGTTCTACCTTTGTAGGGCAGAAAGTATACTTTGATACATAAGCCACGATTCAGTGAGTTTTCAATTCGGTACAATTCAATATAGTTCAATAAAAATAATGTCTAAATCATGACTGTGACACTAAAAGTCTTGTTAAACCACTTCTTGTGCAAAGTTCATATGATTTTTTTTTTTAATTTAATCATCAAAACAGTGAAAATGTCAAATGTGTCGCATAAAAGAGTTTCCTTCCACTGAACAAGCAACAAAACTGTGGCTTTGTAAAAAAATAATTTAGTAAAATATACCAAAAAATAGTCTTGGTGATATATCGATACTGTATCATTACATTAAACGATACGATACACTGATATTTCAATATGTTTGCACACCTCTAATGGAGATAGAAAGGTTTAATGCCATACTGTGAAACATTCCAGACCAAGCACTATATCTATAATCTGCACGGAGAAAAGCGTTTGACGGACCCTCCACCAGAAAAGTTACACACCGCAGCTTTAACAGTGAGTTTTATTCTTTGCGCAAATCTCCTTTAGGCGAACACAACATGAGGTCGTCGTCTCTTAGTCTCTCCCACCCTCCTCGCTCGATTTTTCAGGAGCTGTTTACGTTTGCTCCCAACATTAGAGGAGATGGAGTGGAGCATTAAAAGGCTTTCCGTTGGCACAGGGAGGAGAGGGGCGCAGCGTGATGCCCCCCTCGCCTCGGGGTGCTTCCTGGGAGCGGGGCGGGGGGGTCAGACGTAGATGCCTTCAGGGTTGAAGCCGGAGGAGATGGGGCTCTGCAGCGTGCGCAGGTCGGTGGGTAAGAGACGAGACGAGCCCGGGCGCTTCAGAGAGCCACACTCCTCGTCTGTGACAAAGAGAGAAGAAGAAATGAAAAGGGTTTTAAAGGTTATTACGGTATTTTCTGAGCTGTGTTATAATGTCGTTTCCTCGTCACAAACAAAAACACACCTGGAGTTGTGTTTTGTTTTGTTTCATTCACACATGCTTAACTCAAAAACATTGCATAGTTTAACATACATATTACTCAAACTGGAAACACACTGTTGCACTCTGTGATGTCACGTGGTAATACAGGAAGTGCTCCACAGTGTTTTTAAACTCCATGCACCTTCACTAGAAGCATTCGGATAATTTCTGCGTTGGAACTGCCAATTTCTAGTGAACTAATGATGAAAGGTACTGTATTTTTCAGACTATAAGTCGCACTTTTTTCATGGTTTGGATGGTCCTGCGACTTATATATTAAAATTTTCAAACTGACAGCCGCAAGAGGCTCTAGACTTGTGTATCAGTTTTCTGCGCAAGTCTCTGGCAGAAAAAGTCATTGTCCTGCTGCAAATAGTGAAATATGCAGCAGAAAACAGTAATCGAGCAGCAGAAAGAAAGTTTGAAGTGAGTGAGAAACTTGTGACTTTTGGAAAGCGGGAAGGAGAAGACAGCTTCACAGCAACCGGGCGGATGCACCGTCCTGGAAGTCACTGGATGACAAAGCCTGGACTCCTGTGACAACTGAAGTTGTGCGGCGTTGCTCAGAAGTGACACCGAGGATGAAGAATTGAATGGATTTAGTGATTTGGAGTGAGATGGAGAGTTTGTTAAACTTGTTCTGTTCTGTTGTTTATGTTATAGTTTATCTGAAGAACTGTTCATATGTGACGTTAACATATTAACGCCTGTTCAGCCTGTTGTTTTTTATTCTATTGTTATTATTACTATAACTTGCCTTTCAAGGTGAAATGTCGGTTCCTGGTTTCTGATTTTATAAAATAAATTTCCCCCAAAAAGTGTGACTTATACTCTGGAAAATAACGGTAGTTGTTCATTTGAAAACTACCACTATAAAACATCTAGGAGTGTGCAAAAATATTGAAATACCGATATATTGTACCATTTAATGTGATGATACTGTAACGGTGACTATGTGAAAAATACGTGAGAACAGGTTGGCTCGTGTTTCAGCTTCATCAGAACCGGCAAAATAACAAGTGCAGGGTTTTGTCTCAAACACTTCTGCCCCCTGAAAATGATTCTCTGTCAATAACTAGTCCCCAAAGAAAAACCTGCCCATAAAGCACTGCGACAAAGTTTGTAGGTCACTACAATACAGGATCAATATCGTGGGCTGCTGTATCGATATATCGCCAAGAGTGTTTTTTGGTATATTTTACTAAATTATTTTGTTACAGAGCTACAGTTTGGTTGTTTGTTTAGTGGAAGGAAACTTGTTAATGCAACAAATTGGACATTTTTACAGTTTTGATCATTAAAATGTTTGTGTTTCATATGAACTTTACATTCAAGAAGTGGTTTAACAAAGACTTTTCGTATCACAGCCATGATTTAGCCTTTATTTTTATTGAACCGTATCGAATCAAATTGAAATATATCGTACTGAATCGTAAGCGCGCTGTATCGAGATATGTATTGTATCGCGGTCTGTGTATTGATTTATGTATCATATCAGCAACTTCTTAATGACACCCAGCCCTAATGACATCACAAGGTGGAACAGAGCATTTTGAGCTTTGGAGATGTATGAATGTTTATAACGAGACACAACTCCAGGGCTCCTTTTTAATGAAGTAAAAACATTAGAACATGGCTGAAGAATCCATTTTGCATATTTTAGTATCTTTAACTCTTTCCCCCAAAAACAAGATGTTTCCTTAAAACTTTTGAAAAAAAGACGTGATTTGACGACCTTTAGAAATGACATTTAAACAGAACTGTGAAATAAACCCACACTAGACTGACAATAGATTCAAGTATGTTTTCATTTTTTCGAAGTTACGAAATAGTGACGATGGTGGCAAACACAACACGAAACACGTGCAATTCACACCTGCGGCACACAGTTTTAGAAATAATGAGGAGCACGGTTTTTATGTTTAAGTTTAGATAAAGTGACTTTTATAGATTCAAAGTGATGATGTTGAAGTTGATTATAAAGTGGAAAACAGCGAAGCGACAGACTTTCGGTCAGAATGCCGCTACGTCTGTGTGGAGTCCTGCGAATCCGAACAAACTTAGCTTTATACTCGATTATGAACAAAATTGCTGAAATCTGGATGTTTCTCAGGTTAGTCCTTTAAAATATTTCAGTCTTTTTTTCCAATGCGATGTATAACAGAATCACTACAGAAAAAAACACTTATGCGGAGCTCTGCACAAGAAAATAACCAAAATGACAAATACTGGAACACACTGACGAGGAAGAGTTTTATTATTATACAAATTAGTTGAATAAGCTAAATGAGTTGAATATTAAGTTGAATAAGCTAAATGAGTTGAATAAGTTCACACAGGTGTAAACAGGTAAAAACAGGTGCACACTTGGCTTTACTGTATCTGGTGATATGAAGTCTGTTTAAATACTTGACAAAGTATATTTTTTATTTTTTTTTATGAATATAGTTCTCAGAACATTACAAATGCTGAATGTAGTTTTTTTGTTTTCAACCTGACCAGGTAAACTCTCAAGTGAGCTGTTATTTAAATGAGTTGAATCACATTTAAACATCCAGAAATGAAGAGTTCAGAGTTAAGGTTTCCAACAAATGCTGTGTTACAATTAAGTTCATGAGTGTAAAAATTTTTATAATCATTGTGGAAGTCTGTTTTCTTTTATTATGCATTAGAACTAGTAACATATGTATGGGTTGTTCTAGTCGGCGTCCGGGGGGAAAGAGTTAAAAACAAGATAAAAAAAAGAACAGAATGATGAAAAATACGGACATTGTCATAGGAATTAACAATTTCAACCCAACTATTACAGCTTTTAATACAAAAAAGCTTTCAGAATGTAGCAAATTTATACTTTGCTCTTAGGGGTGAAATATTCAAAACGTAAATTCACGAATGTTGAACCTGATTATTTCTTTTACTGACAAAGCTCAAGGGCTCTTTGTATTAGAACAGAAATCTGCATTTAACAATATTCATTTTAACTGCTCCACATTTGTATTAATAAATATTCTTGCCCTTGTCGTGGATACCTCTGCCACCACTCCACAGCGTTAGTACTATTTCATTTCATTTCATTTATATTAAGTTAATTACAGCACATAATTAAATTCCTTTATTTAGACTTGTATTCTAATTAGGGTGCGCACATTTTAGTTAATATAAATCTGAATTATTTACTTACTCTTGTTCTTTTTTTGTTTTGTTCGAGTGGCCGAACAAAGGGGAGGAGCACTATTTAGTTTGTTTTACTAAGTTTGTTTGTCTAGTTTGTTTAAGGTCACTTTATTATCACTTATTATTTTCTGTATAACACTTATTTTGCCTTCTTGTTATTTTTATTATGTTAGTAGTTTTAGTTAATTATTTAGTGTAATTCCTCTGTCCTTTGTCTGGTCGGGTTAGTTTTGTTTTGTTCAGTTTGATTTAAGTTGGAAGTTTGTTTAATGATTTACCTAATTTGAGCCTTTGTTAAATCACATCTTTTTTTCTTTTTTTTTTACTTTATTCAATTTAAACTTATTTTTATACCGTGTTTGGTCCACTTCAGCCCTGTAGACTGCGGTGATGCCGTCTGAAACTCGGCTATAAACCATAAAATAAAATGTTTGTTATTCTGATCCAGGAAACGAGAAGGGGCTTTTGAGTTCTGTCGTCCGTCACAAGGGGGCACTGTGCAAAAACCTCAGCCACCAACATCAGCCGCAGTGAGAGGAGTCGTGTTATATCTATACAGTGTTGGGAAGGTGACTTTTAAAATGTAATCCCCTACAGATTACAGATTACATACACCAAAATGTAGTTTGTAACAGTAATCCATTAAATTACTTAAAGTGAGTAATGTAATCTGAATACTTTGGATTACTTGATATTGTCATGTTTTTTAAAACTACATGAATGTAGCAACCACATCCTGAAAATTCTTGTTTGTTCAGTCTTTACTTGACCAGATTAAAAATATTATTGATAGAGAAATGATTTATATATGAGATCACTGCTGCCTTCAAGTATGTCCACCTACAGTTAGTGTCATACTGTGTTAGTTTAGTCCTAGTTTAGTCCTGGTTTAGTCCGGTTTTAGTCCTGGGTTTAGTCTTGTTTTAGTCCTGGTTTTAGTCCTGGTTTTAGTCTTGGTTTTAGTCCTGGTTTTAGTCCTAGTTCAGTCCTGTTTTTAGTCCTGGTTTAGTCCTGGTTTAGTCCTGGTTTTAGTCCTGGTTTAGTCTGGTTTTTAGTCCTGGTTTTAGTCCTAGTTCAGTCCTGTTTTAGTCCTGTTTAGTCCTGGTTTAGTCCTGGTTTTAGTTCTGGTTTTAGTCCTGGTTTTAGTCCTGGTTTTAGTCCTGGTTTTAGTCCTGGTTTTAGTCCTGTTTTAGTCCTGTTTTAGTCCTGGTTTAGTCCTGGTTTAGTCCTGGTTTTAGTCCTGGTTTAGTCCTGGTTTAGTCCTGGTTTTAGTCCTGGTTTTAGTCCTGGTTTTAGTCCTGGTTTTAGTCCTGGTTCAGTCCTGTTTTAGTCCTGTTTTAGTCCTGGTTTAGACCTGGTTTAGACCTGGTTTAGTCCTGGTTTTAGTCCTGGTTCAGTCCTGTTTTAGTCCTGGTTTAGCACCAAAATGTGAAAACAGGAAAATACCTCTGTGTAATCCATTTATTTCAACAAAGTAACTGTAATCCAATTACCACTCACTGAAACAGTAACTGTAACTGAATACAGTTACTCATAATTTGTACTCTGATTACATAACTCCAGTACATGTAATCTGTTACTCCCCAACACTGTATCTATATGAGAAAGGGTTTTATAAGATTTTCTTCATAAACAATATTTTAGACACGTTATTTATTTTTAAAAAGACGCAATATGGAACTTTTCAGGATGATGATCTTATTGTTTACACTGTACATCCTCCTGAGACCCGATTCATCTGTGTCCTCTGTAGTGGACGCTGAGTTAACCAGTCTGTCTTTTAAGTGTTTTGTGATAAACTCTTAATGGGTCTTATAGCGCATGTTGCATGCTGGGAATTATTTTGGTCGGCGGCAAGAAACACTAATTCAACATGACGGACGGAGCGAGAAAACACGTAAAGGGTATTGATCCTGGTTATTTATCCACTCGAACGGCAGAGGACCCAAGACCATTTGACCAGAAATTGGTCATAAGCATCGACGGAGCCAAATCACCCTTTTCAACCCCGACAAAAGGTGGAACAAACCAAATTTCTGGTCAGAATCGCCAACTACCTGGACAAATATTCACTTTGGCGATATCCACAATGACTTGGTGGAAACTCCTGGGCCATTCACAGCAGAAAAGATGAAAACCTCCAAGAGTCTCGATGTGTTGTTGAACTTGTTGGAGTCCACGGTTTGTTAGGATCTTCTACGTTTGCTCTGCGGATGTTTGAAAGACGTTTAATTCACCGTTAGTGGTTCTTTTCACTCAGAATACGAAAAAGACATTTTCCTTCTTCCGTGCTTCTATTTGTGCATCCGATAATGCAGCAGGAATTTACCATTATCGGGGAGAAATACGCGAGGTTACGCACTGTGTTTGACGCTATCGTGTTTCTTGCCTCCGACCAAAATATTTCCCAGCAGCAACGCGGGCTTTTAATAACAATGACGTCAGCTGAAACTCGCCTATAGGCACTATCAGGTCCAGGATAGAAAATGAACTCAACAGCAGGGAGACCAGATTTTCAGCTTTGGAGCGGTCGGTAGTAATAAGAATGTGAATCAAACTGTTCTGCACTCGGCCCATTCATAACAAAAATGTGAGTCGGTATAGTCACATTTTCTTTGTGTTTTGGTCGTTTTCTTAAGCAGCTTTTCTGTAGAACAGATGACAGTTTATGAGTCTTTTTACTGTCGGTAGGGAACAGATTGGTCAAAAATAGAGACACATGGGACATTTCTGCTGGAACAGGGGACACAGGACTCAAAACTGGGACTGTCCCGGGCAAACAGGGACGTGTGGTTGCCCTACTCAATAGGAGTTAGTTTGTGGCTGCACTATAATTAGAATATATTTTTTTTTAATTAAACAGTAAAAGGGAGTCTAAAAACCTTCTGAGGCGACTGTAGAAGCTTGTCAGAGATGTTGGTCATCAGAAAAGTTGTTAGGTTGTTAACTTCATGTGGATTTAACACCAAAATATCCCTTGCGTCCATTACAGTGGACATGTTATAAAATTATAAATAAAAATAAAATGACAAAAAATCTAAAATGCTAAAGTGTTCATTTACCTCCAAACAGACAGAAAATCACAAAAAAAAAAAATATTGCAATACACTTTTTTCTTCAGGTCCCAAAATGATATGTTAGATAAGATTTCATATTTTATTTGTTGTTGTTGTTTTTTTTTTCATATAATGTAATAACTGCGTGGCAAACAAGACTAATGCCATGCTGTGGAACATTCAGACAAAGAAATAACATCTTCATGGAGACAAGAATCTGACCTTAAACCTGAAAAGTTACACAATGCACCTTTAAAAATCAAATATTACACTATTTTCTGATGTTATAATGTTGTTTCTTCATCACAAACAGACCTGGAGTAGTTTTGTTTAATGCACAAACTCTGCATATTTAGGCTTAAAGTTCTTCTCTTCCACCTTGTGATGTCATATTGTGATACAGGAAGTGCTCCACTGTGTTTTTAAACTCCATACACCTTCAGTAGAATCATGTGGATGATTTCAGCCCCTGGAATTGCCGATCTCTACTGAACTAAAGGTAAACGGTAGCTGTTATCCTGAAAACTAGCACTTCGTGACATCACAAGCTGGAACAGAGCATTTTGAACCATTACAACATGCCTAAAAGCTCACAGCAGTCAGTTTTGGTTAACATAGGACATTTATGGAGCTTTTCATGACTGTAGTGAATTGAGCGCGAGTGTGATTGGAGGGGTGATGTGCACTTGCCGTTGCCCGTCTCTGGTGAACTCTGGGCGGGCAGCACCGTCACCTTGGTCCCCGTCTGTTGGATGAACTGCTGGAGGTTCACCTGACGCAGCTCTTTGGTCAACTGCTCCAGCTCCTGCTCCTTCTCCTGACACACAAACACACAAATTAAAGTTACAATGTGTACTGTATTTTTTCCGACTATAAGTCACACTTTTTTTCATGGTTTGGGTGTTTCCTGCGATTTATTCTCCGGTGTGGATTATATATTAAAATTTTCACATTGACAGCCATGAGGGGGCGCTCTAGGCTTGTGCGTCTGTATCATAGTACAGAACTCTACCTCCTATACCACTGTCACTGGCTCTACTGCGCATGTCTCCCGCAGAACAAGCCGTTGTCTTGCTGCAAGTCATGAAATCTGCAGCTGAAAACGATAATCGAGCAGCAGAAAGAAAGTTTAGAGTGAGAGAGAAACTTTTGACACCGGGAGGATGCAACATGAAACTTTCCTGAAGTCACTGGATGGATGGACAAAGCCTGGACTTCAGTGAAACCATCCTGTCGGGATTCAGAAAGGCCAGAATAATTCTAACTGGAACTGATGCTGAGTCTGACGACAGCGACACAGAAGAGGAAGCGGCGTCTGTTTACCTCCGGAGGTCGTGGAGTTGCTCAGAAGTGACACCGAGGATGAAGAATTGAATGGATTTAGTGATTTGGAGTGAGATGGAGAGTTTGTTCAACTTGTTCTGTTCTGTTGTTTATGTTATAGTTTATCTGAAGAACTGTTCATATGTGACGTTAACAGTCTGTTGTTCTCTCTTCTATTGTTTTTACTAGAACTTGACTTTCAACATGAAATGTCGGTTCCTGGTCTCTGATTTTATAAAATAAATTTCCCCCAAAAAGTGTGACTTATATATGTTTTTTGTCCTTCTTCATTACACATTTTTTTGGCTGGTGCGACTTATACTCCATGGTAACTTTTAGAGTTTTGGAAAATGGAACCGTTGATGTTTTTTGTGTGTGTGAAAAGGGTGCAGATATTACAAGTCTACACGTCTTTCTGCTCCCTTTCATTCACACTGATGTATGAAACAGAATGATTTTATATTCATCTTACACGAATGAAACAAATAAAGAAAAGAAATTAAATTAAATGACTTCCTTGTCTTCATGGAAATATTCTTAGTATTGCTTCTTTTGAATTTTTTATTTTATTTATTTATTTTATTTTTTTTTACGGTAAGGTATCCTCTATCGCTACGGAGACAAGCAGGAGTCGCCAACCAGCCAAGTTACACGTCAAATCTGTGGAGAGGCCGCCCCATTCACAGTAGGAATACGTGTGTGTTTCAAAGTATTTTGCAGCTACAAAAACAATCACGTTAGAAAGAGACGTTGCACTGAAAGAGAAGGAGCATTGTGTCACTTTTCTACTTGTTTCTATGGCGATGTCATTGCTCTGCCTGGAATGTTCCACAGTGTGACTTTAAACAGCTCTACTTTACATTTATTCAGTCACAGCTGGTTTTATAGCTCAAAAATACTTCGAAAAACAACATTCTGACTGTGAGCGGGGTCGCCTCTCCACAGATCTGACCTGTAACTTGGCCTGGTTTGATCTCCATGAAGATAGAAAGATTTAAAGCCATAGTGTGAAACATTTCGGACAAAGCGATAACATCTAGATGGAGAAAAACATTTGACAAACCCTGAACCCAAACCCAGAAAAGTTCCACAACGCACCTTTAAGTAAACAAGTAAATAAACACAAAAACTGGCAAAACCGAGATAGAAATTGTGAGTAAATTTTGCCAAGTATCCAGGCACGTCTCCAGTAGCAACAGCAAGATTAAAGCACTATATTGGAGCGTGTTAAATGAGTTCGAGCGTTTCTGTTTCCCTCGTGAGGAGTCGGGCGGGAAAACAACTCTGGAGCTCGTTTTCTCATTTACAAATCTTTTAGAGGCGGAGGATTTAAGACAGACATTTAAAAGTCTAAGAGAGCGTGTTTAAATCGGAGGCACGGATCACTGGAGATGTGGAGGAATAAACGAGGATTTAGGGTCAATAGTGCTCGAGATAAGTTTAGTGTTGATATAGACTAGTCCTCATTTAGTCCTGGTTTAGTCTTGGTTTAGTCCTGGTTAAGTCCTTGTTTAGTAGTTGTTCAGTCTTGGTTTTGTCCTGTTTAGCCCTGGTTTAACCCTGGTTCAGTCCTGGTTCAGTCCTGGTTTAGTACTTGTTTAGTCTTGGTTTAGTCCTGGTTTAGTCCGGGTTTAGTCTTGATTAAGCCCTGGTTAAATTCGGACTAAGTCTTGGTTTAACCCTGATTTAGTCTTGATTTAGCCCTGGTTCAGTCCTTTTTCGGTCCTGATTTAGCCATGGTTTAGTACTAGTTTTATCTTAGTTTAGTCCTAGTTTAGTCTTGGTTTAGCCCTGGTTTAGTCCTGGTTTAGACCTGGTTTAGTCCTGGTTTAGACCTGGTTTAGACCTGGTTTAGACCTGGTTTAGTCCTGGTTTAGCCTGGTTTAGACCCTGGTTTAGTCCTGGTTTAGCCCTGACTTAGTCCTGGTTTAGCCCTGACTTAGTCCTGGTTTAGACCTGGTTTAGACCTGGTTTAGACCTGGTTTAGCCCTGACTTAGTCCTGGTTTAGACCTGGTTTAGCCCTGACCTAGTCCTGGTTTAGTTCTGGTTTAGCCCTGGTTTAGACCTGGTTTAGACCTGGTTTAGACCTGGTTTAGCCCTGACCTAGTCCTGGTTTAGTTCTGGTTTAGCCCTGGTTTAGTTCCAGTTTATAGCCTGTTGTGTCCGACATTAATTCTCATCGTCCAGATTTTGTCTAAAATTGTTACTCAGAACAAAAAGAACAAATTTTAAAAATCTGAGGTTAAAAAGTACAAAAAAAACTGAACGATGTGTGAGTATTTAACTTGAACTTATTTAACTAATTATGTATCCTCTAATATAATATTAGAATATAAGACAACGTGGCAAAACATAATTAATTACTTAATAAGATGTACAATTATTCTGAAATATATAAATTAATTCAGTCTTTTTCAACAGTCTTTTGAGTAGAATTACAGCAGTTATTTGCACGTAACTCTTTTGGCTCAAACAAATACTATGACTGGAGACAGAAATATGTTTTGATCAACGTCCTTTTAAAGAGTTACACATACTGAAGTTTAATGCAGAAAGCACAATGGAACGTGTGTTTTTTTTTTCCTGATTTAAAACTAAAAACCAAATGGCTGATAAAAAGTACAGAAGGTATTGAGGAACACAACTATCCATGAGTGGTGTGAGACCTGTATTCTCTTGGTGGACAGGCAGAGGGAGCTCTCCAGGGCTCTGCAGCTGCTCTCCAGTCTGGACGAGGCCTGACTCTGCACCTCCAGCTCCGAGCGCAGCTTCTCCACCTGAACCTGAGCCTGGAAAATAAAAACAACTCAACTTTCAACTTTCTCTCAGGTCAGATTGTACGTTTGTAGTGAGTTCTTGCAGATTTACAAGTACAAGATATTACAATCACAGCTGAACCTGCATTGCTCCTGTTTTAATCTGCACATAGAGATTTTTTCTTTCTCAGTAAAAGCTGTATTTGATTTAAACTTTTTTTTTTTTTTTTCCCTCATATCTGGGGAAACAGGTAGGTCAAGTTTAAACAGTTTAAAATCTTACATACTGTTCCTTTAAGCCAGTATCTTTCATTTGTAAAAGATTTTCTGTATCTTTAATCTATTGTATAAATATTTTGTTGAATTAGTGTCGAAAATATGCGCCATCATATTGAAGAATGGACTCGATTACTCTGCTTACAGCCACTTTCAGATGATTAGGTAAAATACAAAGTCCTTTTTAGTGCTCAGGTTTGTGATAATAATGCATTTATTTATAATTTATTAAGCGTTTTCTTTATCATTTAAATTACATTATTCCTTCACTCCACACTGGTGAAATGGTAAATTATTTCTGTAGCCACAGCTGCCTGAAGGAAGACTGAAAGAAGCGAGACTGACAATCTGTGCCATCGGTAGGGCTGGGTATCATTAAGAAGTTGCCGATACGGTAAATACCTCGATACATAGGCCACGATATGATACATATTTAGATACAGTGCACTTTCAGTTCGATATGATATATTTCAAATCAATTCGATGTGGTTCAATAAATAATAAAGGCTAAATCATGTCTGTGATACTAAAAGTCTTTGTTAAACCACTTCTTGTGCAAAGTTCATATAAAACACAAACATTTTAATCATCAAAACTGCGAAAATGTCAAATGTGTCGCATAAACGAGTTTCCTTCCTCTAAACCAGGGGTGTCAAACTCATTTTGGTCCGGGGGCCATATCCAACCGACTTTGATTCCTAAAGGGGCCGGATCAGAAAACTCATGTCATATAAACCTCAAAAATAACAATAAGTTCAAATATTTGTGCAGAGAAATACAAATCTATTACAGAAATCTTTCTAAATTGATGAACTCTTTCTTTTACAAAATATTATAATATTATAATATTATGAACAACCACAGACTTTAAGAAAAATGCAATTTCAACACAATGTTTTAACATGAACTTATTTACAAATAAGAATAAGTCAATTTTTTGGAAAATCCTGCACTTGACTCCACTTTTCTCATTTTTGACATTTTTGCTGATGAGGCTGTCATTCTACAACAGTCAAAATGATCGTCTTTTAAGAGCGTTTGGAAAGAGACAAGTCTTCATTTGTGCTGCTCTGGTGGGAGGGGCCACGTACAGAGACGCTGGAGACGCTGCTGTGATAAACACCACAGAAAAATTAACCATATTTTAATAGAAAATATCATTAAAATATTTTAGAAGAAAATCAGCCGAGGGCCAGATTAAAGGTCTTGGAGGGCCGGATCTGGCCCCCGGGCCGTATGTTTGACACCTGTGCTCTAAACAAACAACAAAACTGTAGCTCTGTAACAAAATCATTTAGTAAAATATAACAAAAAATATTCTTGACGATATATCGACACAGCAGCCCATGATATCGATACTGTCTCATCATTAAACAATACGATATATCAATATGTCGATACCCATCGGTCCTGCCACCACTGTCACCCACACTCACACCTGATCCATAGTCTGACAGTGTGGATGATTCGTCTTTCCCAAGGACACAACAACAATGTGCACTGATCCAAATAGGAATTGATTCACCGCACTCCGGTTTAGTTAGTCTTACAAAAACTTTGGTGTTCAAAACATTAGATGTCAGCAAACACTTTATTGGCATTTTATTGGAAAGTTAAAACTGCTGTGTGGAGAAATGGACGCTGATCACACACACGTGTTTTGGAGTTGCCTGAAAATTAGGGAACAATTAAACACAACCTTAACGAGTATTCTGGGATATGGAATTCCGAACACATCACACGTATGGTGATGTATCTGGGAAATATATCTGATGTAGTAAGGAAGGAGGACATGTATTTGACAAAAATAGTTTTAGCTGCATCTAAAAAGGGAATTACAAAGAGGTGGTTACAACCAGATCCACCTGCACAACAAGACTGGATCAGGATTGTGGAGAATATTTCAGTGATGGAAAAAATAACGTATAATCTTAAACTGAAAGGTACAAATACGATGAGCAATGGGAAAAATGGAATATATTCATAAATGACACCAGTAAAACAACATAGTACATAAAAATGTCGACACTAAATGCATGTTTAAATAAGAACCTGTAGCTCCAGACTGTTGTTACATTGGGGCCCGGTCAAGCAGAAGTAAACATCAAGGCCAAAAATTCAAGTTAATGCATCTGATATAAAAATGTATTGAACAGATACATATGTACTCTAGTTTATGAAACTGTTGACCTTTTTTCTGTACCATTTTTGGTTCTAAAGTTACATATGTTTTAAACAGACCATGTATGAAACATGGAACAAAAATTATTTCCCAAATTTCAAAGACCTGAAAATCATGTAAATAAATGGATGTATTTCATCATATCTTGTGTTATTCCATCTTTGAACTGTTGATGAAGGTACATGATTTTTTTTTTTTAAGTATTTAAAATGATAAAAATTTGCTTGGAAGGACTGACATATTTTATAGAAATAGTTTCCTTTCATTTTGAAGTAATATTAAAGTATTCAGAAAAAAAAAACTGACAAATTATGTAAAATCCTGCACCTTCTACTTGTTTGCACAATTTTCCCTCCGTTACTTTTCCCTCCGTTACCATGACCTTTCTTAATAAAAAATCTCATTACTCAAAAAGTAAGAGGTTTTTCAACCTAATCTTGTACCATATGGTAGAAAACTATATGAAGCAAATATTCAAACCAGTTTGTTAAGGATATGTAAGTGAGAACCAAGAGTTTTCACTGTTTGGATTTATTGCCCAAAAAGTGCTGCATATTTCATTCCCTCCGTTACCAACATGAGTTTTTAAATTTTTTGTCAACAACTTGAAAGAATATCACAGGTTTAACTTGACCCTGTTGGAGTGTAACTCTTTCCTACATTCTGATACTTTACTTATTTCAATAGTTCCTCTAGTTTCTGAATAAGAGACATTTGAATGTAAAAAATCTGCCCCTGTTTCCCTCCGTTACCACTTGACCGGACCCATTGTTTTTGATTTTATATTGTTTTTGTATGTTTTGAAATGTTACTTAAAACCAATAAAAACAAAGTTATATAAAAAAAAAACTAGACATAATGTGCTGTTTGGATCTATAAAACATGCTTTTTGATGTTTACAGGAGCAGCGCCCTCTGGAGAACATCCAGGATTCACAGAACCACAGTTACACAGTGTAACTTCCATTTTTCAGGTTGTGTAAGTTTTACCTCTTCTTCGTTGACTTTCTGGTTGAGTTCTGCTTCGTGCTGCTGTCGCTCCTGTTCGAGGCTCGTCTCCAGAGACTAAAAAGCAAATGTGTCAAATATTTTTAAGACGCACATCACAAGAACAGAGAACAAGTATCACCAATTTATTTTTTGGGTTGCAAATATGTTTCATGAATAAAAGTGAGCGGCACAGTGGCAGGCACAGGTCACTGATTTCATTCCCAAGTCGGATTTGCATATTCTTCCTGTGAACCTGCAGAATTCTCAAGTGGAATCTGTAACTGTCAGACTGTAAATTTGTTGACCTGGTTTAAGGTTCATATCTCTGTAATTACTGCACCTCTCCACATGAAACAAAAACCGGCACAAAGTTCAGTGTCGTCTCTGTTAACATGCATGAAAAAAAAAAGTTTTCAAAATAGCTTCAGAAAGGAAAGTGGTACCATTATTCAACTTGATGATTCAATTATTTAAAGGTTGTATGGAGGATTTTTTTGTTTGTTTGTTTCAAATTGTCAATGAAAGTTTAAAACAGCATTACACAGATGCAGCAGCCTTGTAATTATGATGATCCAAAAAAAAAAAAGAATGAAAATCTATCAACTGTGGACGTAGTGAGGCCAGATAAACATCAGCCAATAGAAAACAAGGCTCCCTCTTTATCTATTGGCTGTTATGTTGTCAATCAAACTCCCTATGTTTCTAGTGTAACTGACTCGTCGGCGCGCAGGGATTATGCAGCGGTTCTTAGAGGCTTTTTTAAACTGTCGCTTCCTCGCAGTTCGCACAAAGTTTTTTGCGATGGCGGACGAGAATCCACGACCAGTTCGCCGCAAAAGAAAGTCCGTTTTTGAGGTCGCTGAAAGAAGAAGAGAAGGAGAAAAGGAGCGAAGACAAACTGAGGTGATTCTTGGAGATTCCTTCATTTGCGATGCGATTGTGTGACTGAAGCAGACGAAGGGTCTAAAAACTGACGTGTCGGTCACTAAATTATTTCTAGACAGGTCACTTCAACAGTAATTCTGAACTACTGAGGGAGCTGTGGAGGAGGGAGGTGGTGTCACGCATGCACACCATTTTTAAAAGGACTGTCGCTGTATTTCTCTTCCCTTAAAAAAATCCTCTATACATCCTTTAAGACATGATGTTGTCAGGTTGTAAGAACATTAAGTCTAAATGTTTGTGGAGCTAATCCCAAACAAATAATGATAAGGTTGTGGATCATAAATTTGGATTTTTCTTTCAAAACAAGTGGATCTCCAATAGAATTACACAGGCCCCTTTCCTCCATCTGAAATAATCTACAACATGAACTTAAAGTGGAACTAAACACTAAATCCACTTTCTTTGCTACTAAACTGTGTACATGGTGTTTTAATAACATTGTAATCTTTGGCCAGTTTTAGTGCAAATTAAGTAAATCTGCAGCTTTCTGGTTAAAAACACCTGAATCAAAGTTTGTGCTGACTTCAACGACCTCTGTAAGTTTAAGTACTTGGTAACATCTTAAAAACTGCCCTAATTACAGTCAGGCTCCTTTAGTCCTCCAGGTACTGCCCAGTTTAGCGGCTCTGTTTGGCCGCATTTCATTTTTCTTTTCTCATTTCCTTCTCCTTGATTCCTCTCCTCGATTCTGCAGGAAGTGGGTGAGGAAGTCCCACCCACAGAGGAGAGGAGGAGAGAGAGAGGAGATGAGAGAGAAACAGAGGAGAAAGGAACGGAGGAGAAAGGAGCAGAGGAAAGAGAAGAAGAGCAGAGGAGAAGAGGAGAGAGGAGGAGATGAGAAAGGAGCAGAGAGAGGAGTAGAGGAGAGAGGAGAAGAGGAGAGGAGAGAGGAGCAGAGGAAAGAGGAGAAGAGGAGAGAGGAGGAGATGAGAAAGGAGCAGAGAGAGGAGTAGAGGAGAGAAGCAGAGGAGAGAGGAGAAGAGGAGAGGAGAGAGGAGCAGAGGAAAGAGGAGAAGAGGAGAGTGAGAGAGGAGCAGAGGAGAAGAGGAGAGAGGAGAAGAGGAGGAGATGAGAAAGGAGCAGAGAGAGGAGTAGAGGAGAGAAGCAGAGGAGAGAGGAGCAGAGGAAAGAGGAGAAGAGGAGAGGAGAAGAGAGAGAGGAGGAGATGAGAAAGGAGCAGAGAGAGGAGTAGAGGAGAGAAGCAGAGGAGAGAGGAGCAGAGGAAAGAGGAGAAGAGGAGAGGAGAGAGGAGCAGAGGAGAAGAGGAGAGAGGAGGAGATGAGAAAGGAGCAGAGAGAGGAGTAGAGGAGAGAAGCAGAGGAGAGAGGAGAAGAGGAGAGGAGAGAGGAGCAGAGGAAAGAGGAGAAGAGGAGATGAGAGAGGAGCAGAGGAGAAGAGGAGAGAGGAGAAGAGGAAAGAGGAGAAGAGGAGATGAGAGAGGAGCAGAGGAAAGAGGAGAAGAGGAGATGAGAGAGGAGCAGAGGAGAGAGGAGAGAGGAGAAGAGGAGAAGAGGAGATGAGAGAGGAGCAGAGGAGAAGAGGAGAGAGGAGAAGAGGAAAGAGGAGAAGAGGAGATGAGAGAGGAGCAGAGGAGAAGAGGAGAGAGGAGAGAGGAGCAGAGGAGAGAGGAGAAGAGGAGAGAGAAGGGCAGAGGAAGACAGAGGAGTCTGTTTCCTTAGGTTATATTTACATTGAAAGGTATCACTGTATCAGAAACAATTTGTGTCCAGACACATCGTTTCTGTGTCCGCAATCAAAGCCTTCCCTCCACACAGTAACGTGAAACCGCCTGAAACACTCGTCACTTGACTAGGCTGGCTTTACATGGGCGGTAAAAACAAGAAAGTGGAGCACCGTGTCTGAAGTTGCAGCAGCCGATTTCGAGCCGAGGAAGATGGCAAGCGTGAAAGCAGTAAGTAGTCGTAGCTCCGCTGTTTCCCGTTTGTCTCTGGTTTGTTTAAAGTGTTTTCCACAATAGCGTCACATGACCGACGTCACGAACCCAGCGAATCAGGAAGGCACAAGTCACAGTGACGTGGTCCAATAAGGACGCAACTAGGAGGTCCTACGTCAGAGTATCAGTGTTTTCAGGCGTCCGCACAGTGCCAGATCAGACCCTTACTCAGATGAATTCGTGGGAGCTGGCGGCACCAGATCGTTCCGTCTCTGGAGCAGTTTGAACGAACACTGCATCCACAACGAAAACGACTCGAATATGAACTAGTGTGGATGAGGCCTTAGTTTTAATGTCAAATTTGGGATTATTTTACAAGTCAAACACCCTCTGCTGCTGCTCACTGACACAAATAATGTTTCCTCTGTGGTTTCCTCCCCTTGCCTCCTCTGAGCTTTGGGACACCACTTAATATGGGGCATTTAATTGACAGCTGAGAAATGGAGGATTGAGGAGGAGAATAAAGCAAAAGAAAGCAAGGAAAGAGAATCGAGATGCAGATGAACTGCGGTTGTGGGCAGAGTTAAGGCGTTTAGTCCCACTTTAGCCTGCGCACTGTTTATGTACTTTACCTGTATGTGTGTGAGGTACTCGTTCAGTTTGCCCTCACAGTCTCTCACTCTGCTCTGGAGCTCGGTCAGCTGCAGTCTGAGCCTCTCCTCCGTCTCCTGCTCCAGCTGAAGCTCGTGTTCCCAGAGAAACTCCTCCTCCAGCTCCATGGAGGTGTTCATCAGCTGCTGCTCCAGACGGGACAGCTCCTCCTCCAGGTTCTCCCGCTGGAAACAGGAATTAATAAACAACAGTGACATTTGTTATTATAATACATCGTGATGCGTGAGCTGCCGTGTCGAAGTAATTTCCCTTGTGGATCGATAAAGTTTGTCTAAATCTAAGCCTATAATGACGAAGACAACAGGTAAATGAAAACAGGAAAAGTATTTACTGTTTATTAAAAGGTGCAAATGTAGTTTTTCTGGTTGCCTCCATGGAGATCTTATTGCTTTGCCTGAAATGTTCCACAGCATAGGCAAGGCAAGGCAAGGCAAGTTTATTTGTACAGCACAATTCGTACACAAAGTAATTCAAAGTGCTTTACAGAATAAGAAATACATTAAAATCATAATAAAAACAAATCAAAACATAAATAATCGTGAAGATTAAAATAAAAAAAAGAGAGACATAAATTGGAGAGAAGAGTGCGGAATGAAAACCTTTCAGTTATTTGCACAGTTAAACAGAAATGTTTTGAGTCTGGATTTAAACAGCGTCACAGAAGAGTCTGTCTCACATGTTCAGACTGTTCCAGGTTTTAGCTGCATGAACCTGAAACTCTGACTCCCCTTGTTTAGTCGTGACTCTGGGCACCAGCAGGAGTTGGTCCCTGAGGTCCTCAGAGTGTGAGATGTTCATATGACACTAACATGTCACAGATGGACTTTGGTGCTCGGCCATGGAGACACTTGTACAAGCAGAGCTGCTTTAAAGTCTCTGAGGCACAGGAGCCAGAGCAGAGACCTGAGACCAGGACTTATGTGCTCGTACTTCCTAGTTCGAGTCAGGACCTGAGCTGCAGCGTTCTGGATGTTCTGGATGTTCTGGATGTTCTGGATGTTCTGGATGTTCTGGATGTTCTGCAGCGTCTCACAGCTCGTTTGGAGAGACCAGTGAGCATAGTGTTTATAAATGATCTCTTTCCACTGAAGGAAGCAGGTAATGCCACCAGACCAAGCTGCAGGTCAGATCTGTGGAGAGGTGATGCCGCTCACAGTAAGAATGCATGTTTTTTTTCTTTTTTTAATCAATAATATGATGAACTGTAGGGTCAGTCCACCTCAGTTCACCCAATGAGTTAAACCCTACTTTGTCAAATTAGCACAGAAATGCTTAGAAAAACAGACATTCTGAGTGTGAGCGGGGTCACTTCTCCACAGATCTGACCTGTTAACTTGGTCTAGTTTGAATTCCATGAAGATAAGAAAGGTTTATTGCCATACTGCGAAACATTCCAGACAAAGCAATAAAATCTGCATGGAGAAAAGCGTCTGACGGACCGTCCACCAGAAAAGTTCCACAATGCACCTTTAATAAGTACCGTAGATCCTCACCTGTCCCTCTCCTAAGGCCTCCTCCCAGTCCCGGAGCTCCCCCTCACAGCCCTCCAGGCGGCTCTCCAGCGCCTCCAGCTGGTCCCTCTGTCTCTGCACCAGGCGGCTCAGCTCCCGACAGGGGCTGACAGGTGCAGAGGACACCCCACTGCCCCCCAGCACCCGGCTCAAATTCAGGTTCACCCCGCGCTGCTGCGTCTGCTTGGCTACAACACACGAGGAAAGAATGAATTTACTGATATAAAAGTACACTTCAACTTTCAACATGTCATATGATTTTGTTAATACTTCCACAAGACTTCTTTACCACTAGGGATGTAACAATAACCAAAATATCGCGATATCGTATCGTCAAAGTTCTCACAATAATATCGTGGACCATCACAATATATTGAATTACAAGTGTCTTTGCTTAAATTAAGAGTTATGCTGCAGCAATAGCTAAAAAAAAGACAGAGGGAACTACATAGACCATGATCCTTTGCTCCATTTCAGTGCAGACTACAAGAAGAAATAACAGTTCTAACACTTTTAAGTCTTTGTTCTTTGGATTAAGTCTTGTCAAGGCATTTTAAGAGAAAAAAGTTGCATATTAACTCGGGGGGTAACGATATCCAAGTCTCACGATACGATATTGTCAGAGTATGAACCTCACAGTATGATATTTATTGCGATATCGTGGGAAAGCGCATGATATGGCGGGGAGGCTCACGATTAGGGATGTAACAATATCCAAATCTCTCTGTACGATATTTTCATGATATACATCTCACGATACGATATTTATTGTGATATTCTGTGGAGGCAAAACAGCTAAAACTGTTAATATGCGACTTTTTCCTCATAAAATGCCTTGACAAGACTTAATCCAAAGAACTAAGACTTAAAAGTGTAGTTCCTCTGTCTTTTTTTTAGCTATTGCTGCACCATAACTCTTCTTTTAAGCAGAAAGACTTGTAATTGGATATATTGTGATGGTCCACGATATTACTGTGAGAACTTTGATGATGCGATATCACGATATTTCGGTTATTGTTACATCTCTAATATTAACAGTTTTAGCTGTTTACCCTCCACAAAATATCACAATAAATATCGTACCGTGAGATGTATATCGTGAAAATATTGTACTGAGAAATTTGGATACTGTCACATCCCTAATCATGAGCCTCCCCACTGTATCATGAGCTTTCCCGCGATATCGCAATAAATATCGGACCGTGAGGTTCATACCGTGACAACATCGTATCATGAGACTTGGATATCGTTACACCCCTATTTACCAGCACTATTTTCACAAAGACAAATATACTGAATGTAATTCAAATGAAACACTAATATTTGTTTTTTTTATAGGCGCCATTTTGAGAACTTGTTCAGATCCAAAGATGGAATTGTTTGTATGTTAATTAACACACTTTAAAATGAAAATGAAAATGAAAAGCATGGGCTCAAGGAAGATTTACTTGATAAAAACAATGCATTCATTTTATATGGCGCTTTTCCAGATGCTCAGAGTCACAGTTTTTGGGTTGTTGTTGATGAACTCATGCATATTTCCGTTTGTGGAAACCAGGACACCTTAGCGAGGGCGCGGGCGGCGGTCAGGCCCGTCAATAACGACAAACATGAAATAAATGATACCCAAAGTTACTTTACTCAAAGACGCTTTACACTTTCTGTAATGAATGAAAGAAATAATGTCTCATCTGTATTAGAAAAATAAATAAGTGATAAATAACAAAAAAATACCTTGCCTATATTAACAATAACCCTTTAACAACAATAACTCAACTCATAAATTACACTCAATGTTATTTTACTCAAAGATGATCTGTAATGAATGGAATACAGTGAGTCAGAATCAGGGAACTCCCTTTTCAGCAATGCACTACTGCAAACCAGCACTTTTTTTTTTTTTTTTTATCCATGTCCAGCTCAGAGAAGGAGCTCAGGGATTACGTCACACGCCCCACCACGCTTGTGCACAGTGCCCTAGTGCCGGTCAATTTAATGGCCCAATGAAAGGTAATGAAAACCCGGAAATTTCCATCACTTTACAAAAAAAACAAAAAACCCAGACTATGGAGTAAGAAAGCTGTCAAAAATATTTGTGCGCGTAAAATAGAAATCCGTGCATATTTGGCTGTAGTTGCGCATAAAATAAATATTTGTAAACTCTCAAATGACTCCAGTCGTACATAAAATATATTGTGTGTATTTTATCCATCAGAATACGAATTGAAAAATTACGACGTCATGAATTACAATCACGAAATGAAAATTTACGATTACGCTTTCATCAGTACGAATACGAATTCACAGACGGAATTTTACTGTCAAAAATACGTCATCACTTCACAGACATTATTCATTGAGCAGAAGAAACATCGATCAAGATGATTTTGACAGTAAAGTTCCGTCTGTGAATTCGTATTCGTACTGATGAAAGCGTAATCGTAAATTTTCATTTCGTGATTGTAATTCATGACGTCGTAATTTTTCAATTCGTATTCTGATGGATAAAATACACACAATATATTTTATGTACGACTGGAGTCATTTGAGAGTTTATGAATATTTATTTTATGCGTAACTACAGCCAAATATGCACGGATTTCCCAAATACGCACGGATTTCTATTTTACGCGCACGAATATTTTTGACAGCTTTCTTACTCCATACCAGACGGCCAGGACAGGACGTGAAAAACGGAAATGTCCAGGGAAAAACGCAGATTCATCCTTTAGCCATTAGTCTGTGTGCAGTCTGTACCTTCTGAGTCTTTGCTCCTGCCAAAGATCTCCCTGAGCCCCCGGGCCCCTCCGCTGAAGGTGAGGGACTTCCGTTTGGGCTCTTTGCGTCTGAGGGAGCGGTCTGTGGCGAAGGGGCGGAGCTTAGCCAGCGGCGGCAGGCTCTGGCGGTAAAAGCCTCTCTCCGGCACCCTGCAACATTTAAAGACATGAGGTGCAATACACAAGTTATGCACAAGTTTGTTTTACTCTTGCATATGTCTGCGCTGTATGTCCTGCAGAAAGATACACTACCGGTCAAATGTTTTAGAACTCCACACTTTTACCAGTTTTTTATTGTTGACCAAAACGTATTCTAAACTTCTGATTCATGAAAGTGTCCACCTTTGGCAGATATAACAGCTGAACACACTCGTGGCTTGTTCTTTTTACAACAGAAATCAAATATTCTTCAGAAAGTTCTTCCCGAGTCTGTTGCAGAAGTTTCCATAAATGTGTGGCACTTGTAGGTTGCTTCACTCTTCTGTCCAGTTCAACCCAAACCAGCTCCATGGGGTTTAAGTCTGGACACTGTGCTGCTGGACACTCCAGGTTACCATCTTGTTCTTTTTTTCTGAGGTAGTTTTGGCAGAGCTTGGACTTGTGTTTTGTATCTTTTGTCTTTTTTAAAACCTCTGTCTGTTCATTTTTTACCTTTGTTCCATTTCAAGCTCTTCATTGGACTTGCATGACTTGAATTGCAATAAGTGGAAAAATTAAGGTGTTCTAAAACTTTTAACCAGTAGTGTAAGTCTATTACAGTCTACAAATCAAAATAAAACTCTATTTGATAGACTGAAAACTAAATCAGCATGTGGAGTCTGAATGATCCTGACTCACAGTGACCTCACCTCCTCGCCTGTACAGATACTGACCTGGTGCGGTCAGACGTGGGCCTCTCACTGATCGAGGGCCCCGTCCTCTGGAGGATGAGCTGAACATCAGAGGCGTATTGACCCCATTTATTCAGAGACACGACGGGGAACTCCTGGGGAGACAGGTGCCTCTCTGTGTCCCTCCACTTCTCTATCAGAGTGTAGCGCCCTGTACGGCCTGAAGCAACACAGACACAGAGAGACAAAGTGTGTTTCAGTAACATGGCCACAAAGATGGATTGTCACTGTATTTGTGAGTTCACAAACTCCTAAGAGTCCATCTGAACAGCTCCTACTGCTGTGATCACTCAGGCCACCAGAGATTAAAACCAGTTGGTGCAGATACGGTGCTCAAATCAAAGATGAAAGGCTGCTGACTGCTGGCTCTGGTTGGCAATTTATGTTTTGCAAATCAAATCAAAGTATGAGTTCACAGTGGATAGTTTAAGTACATCCAGGAACATTCCTGTTTGAAAGAAGACGGAAATATGAATTACTAAACTACCGTATTTTCCGGACTATTGAGCGCACCTGAATATACACCGCATCAATAAAATTTTAACTAAATTTTAAAACTGTACATATATAGGCCGCACCTGAATATAAGCCGCAGGTGCCCATGTCTTCAAGAGCATTTTCCAGTTCAGGCCGTCTGCTAAAAATTTTTCTCGTCTTTTTGCATTGAGTCAGTTTGTCACGCTGCCGTCACCGTTACCTCCTGTTCAAAATAACTGTTCAAATCACAATCAAACGAGCATCTTCCTCAGCGCGTCACCCCCGTCTCTCCCCGTCCTCTATTGCGCATGTCTCGTGCAAAAAGAGCCTCTGTCCTGTCTGTATCATGTCAGTGTCTTGGAGGATTTTAGCAGATTTCAGACTCTCTCGGGGGCGGGGTTAGTTGTGTCGATCAGGTATGAGTGGATGTGCGGCTACTGAAGTTTGAGACATTTCTTCGTGTCATTTGCGCCCCCACCTGCATTTAACACCATACGGGTAAGACGTATCACACTCACTAATGTTCATTTAGCATTATAACTTATTTTATCACATGGCGGTGTTGATAAGCCATAGACCGCATATATGAATGGACAATGTGCCAAACAAATAATTCATCCAAATATTAGGCGCATCATTTTATTAACCACAGGGCTCAAAGTGCAAGAAAAAAGTAGCGGCTTATAGTCCGGAAATTACGGTAATACAAGAATCCCAGTTTTAGTCTAGAGTTTGTTTTTTTATATTATTCATACTTCAACTACAAATAAATAGCTTTCCATCTTAATTTCATAAACATAAACAAACTTTTTAAATGCTGCCATTAAACACAAAATGAGTGGCTGCTGCAAACCACAACCACCAGCAGATTGGCAGATTGATGCTTTGAAACATCATGATTATTTCCACAACCTTGTTACAAACATTTTATCCAATTTATAGTACGTTTTGTAGCAACAGTTACATAAAGAACATCATCAAAAACCCCAAATCTTCTGACAAATGAACTGAATGACTTCTATTACAAACACAGCAAAATTCTTCTTGTTATCTCCCACTCTCTGTTCTTCCTTTTTAGTCCTGGATGTGAAAAGTGGGAAAGTCCAGCTACACAAATGCAGATTGTCCCGTGTAAAAGGCTCGGGTCAGAGGTTCAGGGCTGCGTGTGAGTAGATATATGTGTTCTCAGTCTGTGTACATGAAGATAAGAGGAACAGGAGTCAGACCCGCACATTTCACGGCGAGGCCCCCTGGCTGTAAAAGAAAGCATTGTTTCCTGCGGCCCGTCCCATCAAAGTGTCGCGACGGGACAAAAGACAAGGACAGCACAAAGGACAGTGAGCAGCTATAACTCTTGTTTATACGTGAAAGGCCCTGTTGAATTGTGGGAAATTTAGCTGCCATGGTGTTACGTGTTAGGATTAGCATTGTACAGGCAGTGTCCATGTTTCTCAAACTGTGGCACACGAGCTGTTTTCTTCATTTTGTGAGTTTACCTCATTTGCAGTTTCTTTTTACCCTGTTTGGTCTTTTTTTTTTTTGGATAGTTGCCACGTTTATATGAGAGCTTTAATTCCAAAATCTGAATAAAAATTAATTCCGCTTTAAAAAGACCATGTAAACCCTTAATTCCTAATGAAAAAGATGATTCAGAATTAAACTTTATTCCAAAGTAAGTGGGGGGTTTATCCTGATTTTAAAGCTAAATTAATTTATTCCACGATCGTGTAAACGTTTATTCTTCTTAAAAATAATTCCGGTCGTTCAGCGCATGCTCGTTGGGATGTGATTCAGATGATCCGGCTCCACCAGTCCTGACTTCGGACTTTCATCCTCGTCTCTTTGGATTTGTGAGCGGGATGTGGGAGTGGGCTGAGGTAGAGCAGCCGTTGACTCAGTTTGGCTTCTTCCTCCCTTCTCCTCCTCAGCTGACAGACGTAAAGCGTGATGAGAGAATTCTCCAATTATCATTGGGACGACTGCAGAAAAAGTTTGTGTAACGACAAACCGAGATGACAGAAAAGCCGGTAGCAGCTGAAGTGTGTGTTTTCTTCCGGTTGATGTAAATACATTTGTGTCTCTGTCCAATCAGAACCTTCCCCACCCCCAGACGCTGAGCAGAATTAAATAAAGACAATTTAACGAGTTTTCCATGTAAACCTCAAGTCGGAATTATTACTTCTATGTAAACTCAATGGAGAATATTTAAATTCTGAACTATTAAATTAGTACTTAATTCGGAATTTTAAAAACATCATGTAAATGTGGCCAATAATGGTTTAGAACAGGGGTGTCAAACATACGGCCCAGAGGCCAGATCCGGCCCTCCAAGACCTTTAATTTGGCCCTCGGCTGATTTTCTACTAAAATATTTTCATTATATTTTCTATTAAAATCTTGTTAATTTTCTGCAGTGTTTATCACAGCAGCGTCTCCAGTGTCTCTGTACGTGGCCCCTCCCACCAGAGCATCACAAATGAAGACTTGTCTCTTTCCAAACGCTCTTAAAGGACGATCGTTTTGACTGTTGACCGTGACACCCTCATCAGAAAAATGTCCAAAATGAGAAAAGTGGAGCCGAATGCAGGATTTTACAACAAAAATTTACTTATTCCTGTTTGCAAACAAGTTCATGTTAAAACATTATGTCGAAATTGTATTTTTCTTAAAGTTTCAGGTTGTTCATAATATTATAATATGTTGTAAAAGAAAGAGTTCATCAATTAAAAAAGATTTCTGTAATAGATTTGCATTTCTCTGCACAAATATTTGAACTATCTTTGGGGTATATACGCCTTTTTTTTTTTTTTTTTTCGGTCCCTTTGGGATTAAAGTCTGTTGGATACGGCCCCCGGACCAAAATGAGTTTGACTCCCCTGGTTTAGAACTACAGTGGAAATGACGTAGTCCACTTTTAGACCTGGTTTAGCCCCAGATTAGACCTGGAATAGTCCTGTTACAGACCGTCGTATTAGTCAGAAAGGGAAATCTTTTTTTTGGTGACAGTTGGCATGAAAACGATGAGATCCAGAGATGCTTTAGGGTGTTTTAAAATTAAATTATAATTAAAGATATCAAATCAAGCTTATTTTAGATTTAATAAAATGAGTTATGAAAACTGGGACTTAACAGTAGACGGTGTACAGTGTCTAAATGTTCTGGATAAGGACTCATTTGCTCGTCTCCATGGAGATGTTATCACTTTATCTGGGATGCTCCACAGTATGGCATTAAGCTTATCTATCTCCATGGAGACAAGCAGTTCAGAGAAATGATTACAAAAGAATAAAGCTTACTCAAACGTACATGAATTTCTCTAAATACAACTTTGGGTGGGTAAAAGAGAAGAGGAAACAACAGGGTTACAAGCTCTGAAGAGTCTCTTTAAAAAAACTTTTATAGAAACAAGGTGGAGCAAACTGAGTAAAGTGTGACACTTATTTATTCATCATTCATATTTGTCATTGAGCTGATTATTTTGAACCCGGGACCTTCTCGCTGTGAATCGGGAGTGCTTACGGCGCAGTTTACGCTTGATCCTGATCCAGTCTCTTTGGCACAAACTGTTCCCCCCTCTCCCCCCTCCCCCGAGCAGATTTAATGGGCTGTACAATATGTCTAATTAAACCTCAGCATTGACGAGCAAAGGCTTCTACAGCACAACATGTCAATAACTCCGCAGCATGACTCAGACAGTTTCATGCCAGCTCAGGTCTGACGGTGCAAACGCTGTCCTCAGATCACTTTTCATTTTAAAGTAATTTGTCTCGACTATACCAGCAGAGCTTCTGACAGACACTAGAGGCCAATACTGGACCCAAACAAAGTATTGATACTTTGCTGTGGCATCACTCAGGGGGGCTCTACATGTACGTTCATAATGGAATGCACAGCAGTCACCATGGTGACACAGTGCATACATTACTAGGCATTAGGGATGGGCATCATTAGTCGACTAATCGATAATTCATCATTAAAAATGTAACTGATCACATAAATTTTTAATCGACAAACTGAATGTATGTTGTTGTGTGTAGTGTGAAGAGACGAGTCTGTGTCTGACACAAACACTGGAGTTGTGCCTCACAGTTCCACGTTTGGGCTCTGGCTCCTTGGAGACTCTGTTCCTCTCAGTGAGTGTGTTTACAGCACATCAGTGTCCCGGGTTTGATCGGGTTTTTTGAGTGTCCCGGTTTCGTCATGGTGCATGTAAACGCAGTATCCTGAACACTGCAACATAAAGTTGAGTCACATGTGTCCAAAAGTCTTTTCATCACAAAAGAAGCCAAAATAAATAAAGTGAAATGATGTTAAATAACTAAACCTGCACTAAACCTGCACACGTCTGATCTCTGAAAACATGAACCATCTCCAACACGACACACACACAGAACACACTCACCATCATCATCATCATCATCAACATCCCTGTGTCACAGAGAGAACACTCATATTCCACTGAGTCATGTCCTGTTGTCTGACAGAAGCTGAACCGCATCAACGCACAAGGCAAGAATTCATCTGAGTACAGATCTGATCCGACACTGTGTGGACACCTGAAAACATTGCTACACTGATGTAGGAGCTCTAGTTTCGTCCTTATTAGACCACATTACTGTGACTTGCAGCTTCCTGATTCGCGGGGTTTGTGACATCGGTCATGTGACGCTATTGCGGAAAACAGTTTAAACAAACGGCTGTTACAATTTACTACAGTTTCAGGGAGTTAAGCGTTAAAGGGCGAAGTATAGTTCTATAGGTCTATGTGTATGACCTGCAGTTATATAATCTCTGAAAAGTTTCACATGAACCATCTCCAATGCGATAAAAGTACAAAATAGACTCACCATCAGCAGAACATCCCTCTGTCACAGAAAGAACACTCATATTGTACTGAGTCATGTCCTGTAGTCCAAAAGAAGCTTAACTGTATCAGTGCACAAGGAAAGAGCCGTTTTATCAGCACTTACAGTTTATGCAAATGAGCCATGTGATTTTAAGTTTTGTTTCTGGTAAACGTAAACATATGTGCACAAACCTGTGTGGATAGGGAAGGCTTGCAGACACAGAAACGACATGTCTGGACCCTAATCATTTCCGATACGGTGATTCATCCCACTGTAAATGTAACCAAAGTCTTAACAAGCCTCAGACAGAGCAGTGCCTACAGTTAGTATCACACCTCCAGGGAATGTTGATGACGTCAGCTGCAAAGTACCAATAGCCAGCCATGTCCCAGTGGAGAATTATCTGTACAATTATTGCGTTTAGATTTGTTTTAACAATGGGATTCAGTTCAAAGTTCACATTTTAAACGCATCCAAAAGAAATATAGACAAAACTAATAAAAGAATCACATTTAAGAACATGTTTGTACAGATCTATATTACAGAATTAGCTGTTTTTATGCAGAATAAGACATGAGATTCTGTTGTTTTGCCAAGGAAATTACAGTACCTCAAAATCTGCAGCCTTTGTGATTTGGCTCCATTCAAACTGCGATTTCCATTTGATTTTGATTCATCTTGCCGCCCCAACGTGAGACCAGATTTCACTCGCACAGTTTCAATGAAAGTTTTGGATTCCAGGCGAGAAGGATTTCATTACATCTTAATCTGGTCTTTTGTGGTTTAAAGCTTTAAGATATTGCAACGTCGCTGTGAGGGAATTTATGTAATCCTCTGCAAATGTTTATGGAGTGTTTTGGTTATGAGACGCACATCTGAATAAGGGTGAGAAAAGGAGAAGGCTTCATTTTTTTTTTTTTTTTTTTTTTTGGTTTAAAGTTGAGCAGTGGGACTTTTCTGGTGGAGGGGCTGTCATCGGCTTGTCTCCATGGAGATGTTATTGCTTTGACTAGAATGTCCCACAGTAAAAACTTATTGATCTACATGGAGACAAGCAGGTGACAACACTAAGACAAGTTACGCCAAGTTACAGGTTAGATCAGTGGTGGGGTGAGCGCTAAGTATTTTGTAGCAATGCAATTATCTGTAATAGAAAGAATTCAAGCCTGATAAATAAGTTTAATTTGATTGTTTCTTGCAAGTTTGAGTATTCCTATGTTATATTATGTTGTATTATATAGTTGCTACAGGTTTTTTACACCATATGGATGGATTGTGTGAAATGAACCGTTTTTCTCGTATCCATGGAGACTGTGCAAGAGCCTAGCTAAGGGTCCGTCCACACTATTACGTATTGGAATTGTTTTCGTTGTGGATGCAGTGTTCGTTCACAGTAATCCGATGGAAAACGGCTCCAGAGACGGAACGATCTGGTGCCGCCAGCTCCCACGAACTCATTTAAGTACAGATCTGATCCAGCACTGTGTGGACGCCTGAAAACGCTGATACGCTGATGTAGGAGCTCGAGTTGTGAACCACATCACTGTGACTTGTGCCTTCCTCATTCTCTGGGTTCGTTTAAACAAAACCAGAGATAAACGGAAAACAGCGTAGCTAGAACTACTCAGTAACAACTGAACCTCGTAGTCGGTCCACGTAAAGACTTGTCATCTTCCTTGGCTTGAAATCGACTCCTGCAACTTCAGACACGGTGCTCCACTTCCACGTTTTTACCACCCACGTGACGTCGTGATGTCGTGACACCAGCCGAGTCACGTGACAAGCGTTTCAGGCAGTTTCTCGTTACTGTGTGGATAGTGAAAGCTTTGATTACGGACACAGAAACAACGTGTCTGGACGCAAATCGTTTCCGATACGGTGATACGTTTCAGTGTAAATGTAACCTAAGGAGCTGGCTATGGACATTTGAGATGCTACAGGTTTTTTACACCATATATGGCAGCAGACCTTCCAGAGAAAACACTCTGAGGGAATGGACCATTTTTTCACCAACCAAAACATCAGTGAAGTAAGAGTGAGACCTTTCCTATTGTGTTCACCTGGTGCCCCCTGGAGGCTGCTGTGATGCTGAAGGACACAGAGCAGGGACACTTTTGGCCTTTCCTCTTCTCAAACTGCCCTGACACAGATCTGCTGACCCTCCCTGACCAGTCCTCCTGTTAAACTGCACTGAGACTTTTTGACTGACACAAGAATTCTGATTGGACAGAGACGCGAACATATTTACGTTGATCGGAAGAAAACACAAACTTCAGCTGCTACCGGCTTTTCTGTCGTCTCGGTTTGTCGTTACGTCACGGACACAAACACGATCCAAACTTTTTCCACAGTGGTTCTGATGATAATCAATCAGAAGCTGGGGAATTCTCTCATCTCTGTCAGCTGAGGAGGAGAAGGGAAGAGTATCGGAAAAGGGAGGAAGAAGACAAACTGAGTCAACGGCTGCTCTACCTCAGCCCACTCCCACATCCCGCTCACAAATCAAAAAAAGAGACGTGGATGAAAGTCCGAAGTCAGGACTGGTGGAGCCGGATCGTCCGGATCGCGTCAGAAGGGCGACACAACGAGCATGAACGACCAGAATGATTTTTTAGAAGAACAAACATTTACATGATCAAGGAATAAATGAATTAAATCGGAATAGACCATCATTCATTGTAAGTGAGCGATTAATGATGGTCTTTTTAAAGCGAAATACATTTTTACTAAGAATTAAATTATTAAAGCTCTAATGTAAACGTGGAAACAGTGGAACATTCCAGCGAGAGCACCTGACATATCGATAGAAACAAGCAGGTGACCGACCCTCAACCAAAAAGTTACACAGTGCACATTTAAGTAAAGTATGACATAACTCTCTCTCTCTCACCTATGGCCTGGGCGAGCGCGATGACGACCTCCTGACACGTGGTGAACTCCGTGACCCCGCACACGATCCTCTGCACCCCGTCCACCCACACTTTGAGCTCCATGGCCTTCATCCAGACGCCCTCATTCTTCTACGGCACCCAGGGGCGACAAAGGGGTGTCACTGTCCATCCTGAAAGACAAAAGGACAGAACGACAATGCAATAAACCGAGCTAAAGAGTCTTGTGAATGGAGAGCGGGTTTGTGGTGAAGTACAGAGGCTGAAGGGGGCATGAGCTGATCTGGGGCGCAGCATAAGCAGATTATTCAGACCTGTTTCACTTAAAGGTTAGTTGCATAAAACTTGAGCAGAGTAATTTAAAGGTCAAGGCTTTCTAAACTACTTTGGTACACAATTTGCTATGTAAGACTGATTTAAAATTCTATAAACATGACCCAGTTGAGATGCTGATTAGGGCTGGAATTGATTCATTCAACAATAATTCCTCCAATTAATCGCTTAGTTTAGATGAGTGTTTTTCAATAAAAACAAACAGAAAAGCATCATGCAGTCGTCCCGTAACATTGGAGAAACATTGCTACTCCCTGCAGCTCGAGATATTTGACTGTCTAATGTTTTGTGTTCCTTGAAAAGTGTTGTCGTTTGTTGTTAAGTGTTGTCGATTATTAATCAGACACTTGTCCATGGTGCTTATTTTGTTCAAGACCATGTGCTTAATATTAGGCCCAGACGTGTCGATTTTAGCCGTCAGGTGTCGTCAGCTGTAGTTTTGGCACCGATTGCAAATGTTAAGCATGTTCTGTTGATCTGAATAGGCCTGCTCATGTTCAGTGATGTTAAAAGTCGCCTGCATGAAGTTGGAAATTATTCACTGTTGCAAAAATCGTTTATGAATGCACTTTTAAAAATATATGAAAATACAATATTTAAAGAAATTACACATTGTTATTGAAACTCATTATTGCAGGAACATAAAAGATGCATTTACTTCAAAGGTCTGTGTGGTGGATGGGATTTTGGGGAAGGAAGGGGCTCGGCTGTCTTTACCTACCCTAAGGGGAGACTCACTTTCACCCAATTTGAGAACCCCTGCTCTAGATCACAAAAAGCCTTAAGTGAATGTGATATTTTTCCTAAATAGTTCTGTGAAGTTCCCAAAAGCTGAAGTGAAGCCACATGAGAAGATCCTGATGGAACATAAAACACACACAGTAAAGTCTCTTCATGAAAAACACAATATGTATTATTAGGGGTGTCAAATTATCTCGTTAATTGCGATTAATTAATTACAGTCATATTTAGCGCGTTCTGTTTTTTAATCGCGTTGATCTCATTTTAAACTTTACTGTTTCTGTATGTGAGTTGCTTTATTGTAAAACCTGTTTTTATGTGTTGTTGGGACAACAACACACACACAAAAAAACACATTTATACATTTTTTTATTTCGGTAATTCCACTCATTGCCGGAAACCCACACAAAACGCGCGCAGTAAGAGCGATGTAAACATTATGTTAATGTTGGCGGCGTCAGTCGCACAATGGACGAGGTCGTAGAGCCAGTAGAACAGAGGCAGCAGTGCACAGGTAAAAACATATTCGTGTCTTGGAAATTATTCTCCCGACGTGAAATATAAAAGAAAATAACAAATATAAAATCGCCTACAACTTAAATGTCACTGGTGAAAACAACCTGCATAGACTCATGATGTCTGCACTACTGTCCTATAGTGACCTGCCACATGAGGGGACACGCACACAAACACACACAAACACACACAAACAAACACAAACAGACACACACACACAAACACACACACACACACAAACACACACACACACACACACTTCATCATCGTCATTAACCTGAGAACACACGGACCACGTTTCCTTCCGTAGTTACTGCGCGGACACTGACGTGCTCCCGTGAGCCGCGTGTGGATCGTGTTTTCTCGCTACGCTGCGTAAACCGCGCTTCCTCCTGTGCGCCTCTAAACCAGAACTAACACCAAGACTAAAACCAGGACTAATCCAGTCCAGGACTAAACCAGGTCTAAACCAGGTCTAAACCAGGTCTAAACCAGGACTAAACCAGAACTAAAACCAGAACTAAAACCAGAACTAAAACCAGGACTAAACCAGGACTAAACCAGGTCTAAACCAAAAATAACACCAGGACTAAAACCAGGATTAATCCATTCCAGGACTAAACTAGGACTAAAGTAGGACTAAAGTAGGACTAAAGTAGGTCTAAACCAGGACTAAAACAAGGACTAAAACCAGTGATCTCATATATAAAGCATTTCTCTATCAATAATATTTTTAATATGGTTAAGGAAAGACTGGACTTTTTATTGTCTTTAAGTAGACAAAAGTTATTATGTTCAGATTTCCTCGTCTTTGCTACTTTACAGCAAACAGTTTCTTATTCATGGAGACTTGGGCTCAACAGCCAATTAGGAGAGATTTGTTAAACAATAAATGACTTTATAAAGTCACTTTTTTTGTTCTATATGAGGCTTTTGATCTGCCACAATAATGTAATAATGAATTTAAATGAAAATACCTCAAATTGAAGGCTTTTCTCAGCAATTTTTAGGTGAGATTAAAATGAGATTAATTAGATTAATTAATTACAGATCATAATTAATTAATCTCTCAATTTTTTTAATCGCATGACAGCACTATGTATTATTAAATATTACCGTATTTTCCACACTATAGGGTGCTCTGGATTATAAGACGCACTGTCATTAAATGGTCTATTTTCGAACTTTTTTTCACAAATAAACCGCACTGGACTTTAAAGGAAACACAACAGTTGGATGGGTGAGTGGTTTTGTTTGTTTGGTGCGTTCACGGTGACTCTGGGCTTTGTTCAGTTGTGGCGTGTAGGGAGGGTGCTGTCTGGGACCAACGGATTGTCGGCGTGTTCGCAGTGACTCAGTTGTTCAGTCGTGTCTAGAAGTGGCACATTGCGCTCGCTTTCTCCGTTCCTCCTCTTCGTTCCTCCGTTCCGTTCCTCGTCGGCGTGGAGTGATCAGTGTGTCTGTGGGTGTTTTTCACTGCACGGTCGCTGTCTGCTCCGTGTGTGTTTGTGTGTTCTGCGGGTGGTGCGGCTTTGTAGTTTACTGAGGTCGTGCTGGAACACCTGAGTGGATTCGTGTATGGGGCGCTCTGGAGTGTGGCGCGTGATGGGGTTGGAGGCTTAAGAGCGTGCCCTATGATGCAGAAAATACGCTATTGTATTATTAGTTTAATTACCTCCGCCAAGGAGGTTATGTTTTTGCCGGCGTTTGTTTGTCTGCTTGTTTGTTTGTTTGTTTGTCTGTTTGTCTGTTTGACTGTCTGTCTGTCTGTCTGTGTGTCTGTTTGTTTGTTTGTTTGTTTGTTTGTTTGTCTGTTAGCAACATAACTCAAAAAGTTATGGACTGATTTTGATGAAATTTTCAGGATTTGTTGGAAATGTGAAAAGGAAGAACTGATTTCATTTTGGGGGTGATCCGGAAGAAATCCTGGATTCTGGATCACTTTGAAATTTTAGTTAACATTGCGGTAAATGGGGCCAAAACTTTTGTTTCTCAATATCTCGGTTAATTATTGACCAAACCCCATGAAATTTGACTCAGGGATGGACAATGGGATCCTCTTTCATATTCCAAAGGCTGATCCGGATCTGATCCAGAAGACTGATTTTATCGCAATTTATATAAAAAATGGGGGTAGTCCTTGGCGGAGGTCTGCGCTCTCTGACTGCTTTTCTAGTTATTCATATTTCCTGTGTCATTTCTTTATAAATTGTCTCATTTTTATACAGCCACCTCCAAGACACTCAGAGCGCTTTACCACTCACCCATTTACACGCGCATACACCAGTGTACGCAGACACTAGGGTGGGTTAAGTGTTTTGCCCAAGGACACAATGACAGCATTCATCTGCTGGAATCACATCTGACTCCGAACCTGTCAGTGGATCTGACCACTCAACCAGTGATGCTTATGTCAAGATGTCAAGTGGGATTCAAACCACCAACCTTTGGATCAGTGGACAAACGCTCTGCCAGCTGAGAACTGATCTGTCTGAAACTTCTTCTTTCATTAGATGGTTTGAAGGCTGTGGATAAACCAGTTAAAGACAGTCCATAATTTTGGACATAGGACCTCATTTCCTAGTGATCCAGAGTGTTGGAGACGTGTGGAGACACTTTTTAAAATCTTCCTCCAGTCCTTGCATTTGCAGAGGTCACTGGTGCATGTCAATGGTCATAGTTATTCTGCCACTAAAAACAGTCTTACCCACTCCACAAAACACCCGAAGTAAAACTATCATTACACCAGACTGTCCATGTGAATGTGTTGACAGAAAAATGTCTGAACTAAAACTAACCTTGCATCGCATGAATCGTCGCATGTTGAGGAACTATTTTCTCACATATCAGTCCGCCACTGTCAAGCTTTTCTACCAGGAAGTACAACTCACTGCTGCTCAGACATAAATCCATCAAATGTAAGGTTGGTTTAACTTCTAAAATTATTCTGTCGACACAGACATTCACAGTCTGGTGTAATAATAGATTTTCTTCGGGTGTTTTGTGGAGTGGGTAAGACTGTTTTTAGCGGCAGAATAACTATGACCATTGACATGCACTAGTCCAGCACCAGTGACCTCTGCAAATACAAGGACTGGATGGAATATTTAAAAAAGTGTCTCCACACGTCTCCAACACTCTGGCTCATGAGGAAATTAGGTCCTATGTCAAAAACTGCAGACTGTCCCTTTAAGCATTATTTTATATATTTCTGAAATAGTCGACTATAATCAATCAATGATTGATTTAAAATGTCTTTTTGCGGCCCAAATCCTGATTTGTTCTTAATTACAAAAACATTTAACATGATGGTCCATTTATGCGTTATAATTTGGTGTTTTAAAATTGACCACAAAAGCAAAAATGTGGCTTTATACCACAGACTCACTGTTCTACTCAGGCTTCAGTTCACTTTGTACTGGAAAAACATCACTCCTCTGTCCATAACTGCTGCTATCAGGGTCTTCATTTTGCTCTTAAAATGTTTTACGTGATCCTGGGGCTTTTTATTCCGCTAATAAATTCCTAACATGGATCCTGGCTCCAAATTGTCCCCTGTAACTTCACTCTCTTAGTCCACTTT